CTCATTTCAGGTATCTTATCTTATATTTATGTTTTCTTCAGGTTTAAAGTATCCGATAATTAACCGTATATTTAACTCGTATTCCTAAATGTTTGTTTATCATTCAAATGTTCAAGAAGAGCCGTTTGGGATTATGGACGTAGAAATGGAAATCTTTTAGGCCTACATTCCAAAACCATAAAGGACTGTTTCGAACCGTTGAAAGGTAAATAAAGTATCAATAATTGGAGTAAATCACATGATTAATAATTATCGAATACCATTCTAAAGGTAAACGAAAGCATAAACTAGAAAAAAAATTATGCCGTTTTTAAAAATTATCGATCTGTAGGCCTAGTTTTTGTTTAATCTGTTCGAATTTTTGGCTGTTTGAGACGTCACATTGAGAAAATTACGTCAATATGTAGATCACTTGTGACTCAGTATTAGTCGAGCAACGAACAGCTGTAAAGATAAACCGGAGAATTAATGAAATCCCTTTGCAGTAGTTTATAATCATGTGTACACGGTTTCCGAAGACAAAAAGACTAGTCAGAGGCTTATATTAGTCAATAATTGGATTGATTGATTTAGTGAAGGATAGGATATGTTTTAAATTGATGTTTGTTGTGTTGCCCAGTGTAAGCAAGCTGGAGACGAGATGTGTCATTTGTTAAGCAATTTGATATGAAAGATCGCCAACTTACAGTTAAAAAATAGTTGAATATATTAACAATAACATAATTATTTAATCCCTAAAATATCGTTGACTTTAGACTTTAAGCATATCAGTAGCCAGTTTTACTAAAGGTCGTAAGTCAAAACGTAGACGTAAGCGTAGACATAGCCGTAAGTTACGCCGATTTTGCGTTTTACTAAAGATCGTATCTTACGATTTGACGTAGATTTACGTGAAAATCTACGGGTGCCCTATAGCAACCGTAGGAACACACGTAGCATAATTAAAAATGGCGTCAGTCTTATTTCTTCGACGAGCACTTCGGAGAGAACGTGTGTTTCGCGACAGAAGTCAACCTCTAGACGTGTTGGACGATGTCGACCTCATTTCTAGATACAGATTTCCTCGGAGAGTTCTACTGGAATTGATTGACGGTGTTGACGCCAACTTAGGACCCGTAACTAATAGATCCCACTCATTTCCTACACAGCTGCAGGTACTTCCATCACTAATATAAACAATATGGAAGTTGATGAAATATTGTCTCCCTTTGAAGAGTTCCCTAATAGGAAAAAAATGTGCACCCGTTCATGAAATCATTCGTACTTTCGAAGAGAAAGTTCAACAATACCTGTACATGTATAAAATTTTGTAAACACGGCATTATAACAACTTAAAAAAAAATGAAATTAAGAAACAAACAATAGTATAATTCTAAGATAAGGATTGAAAGAATAAAAAAATCACATACTTGTAGATGTTAAAAGGGAAGTGAGTTTTTTTTGTGTGGGGGGGGGGGCTTCTTTAAACTTAATGGGTGAAATATAAAATACAAAAAAAATTCCTTTCACTCAGAAAAAATAATTGTTTTTTTAATGTAGTTTAAAATGATTTTTAAATGATGTATATATTGTTTCTTTTCTTTCTTTCGACACACACAATATTTTGAGGAAAGTATTATTAGTCACAATATATAATTTCAGTATGTGCATTAGAAATGGAAATTTTCTAATTTCAACTTCTATTAATCAACTAAACAAGAGGTCTATGGGCCACATCACTCACCTGTCACATGGCTAAGTAAAAACACATATCAGCTGCATATTGAATAGTTTACTTGGGGGGATTTTATACTACTTGAGAATGCCCCCATATCAATAAAGCATACTTAAGGAATCACTGTCTCGTTTTGAGAGTATGCCAGGGCATCAACAATAGTGGGAAACATGGGATAATTTGCATAACAGGCGAAGCCCGTTATGCTAAAATTATCCCAAGTTACCCACTATTGTTGATGTCCCTGGCATACTACACTAACCAGACAGTGATTCCTTATATTTCCATTTCATTGTGAAATAAAATTGTAGATTTAGATTTTAAAAATGTAGACATAGATTTCAGTTACACGAGGACTCCCATGTCAATTTCAATAGTCCTCGCCCACTGACGTCAGACACAAAGGTAGCCGCACGAGATTTACATGCATATTTGGCCTCCTTAGCGTCAGACACGGAGACAGATGCGCACGAGATTTGCATGCGTATTAGGCCTCCTTAGCTCCTGACCTATCGACCTGCCTAATTTACATTCTGGCAGAATTATCAAGAAATAAACTCCGACAACTTTCAAAGAGTTATCACAGAGAAAAAAATTAGAAATGGAAATATATGAAGAACTTTGTTGTTCTTGAAAAGAAAAAAAAAAGCAATATGAGTCGATTTTTGTAAGTCTTATATTGCTGTTCAAATGTGTTGTGATAAATTTGTATGTAACTTAAACCTTTATGATCAATTAGACTATTTTAATGCAGAAAAGAGACTTCCATATATACAGTCCAATGTACAATTTTATATAAGAAATCATAATTGTACAGGAAGACATCGTATTCAAATGTAAACAACAGATGTTTATAAATTACATTGTTTTTTTCTGCAACAAAATATTCCGAGATCAAAGTTGCAGCTCATATATTGCTTTAAAGATTTTTTTCCTACACATGTGTACATACATGTATTAATTTGGGAAAAGGTGATCTCCATCCCCCCCCCTCCCCCAATTCATGATTCAAGCATAAAATTGATTCTGCACAACATGCGGATGCTTATATACATGTCAGTTTGATTAAATACTTGTACATGTATTTCCTTATGCATACAGAGTATCATTATTTAATCTATAACTCTGTCTCTTGTTTTTTTTTTTAAAAAAACAGGTATTGTGCACACTGCGATACCTAGCTAAGGGAGATTTCTTCTCAGAAGTGGGAGATATACATGGCATTTCAAAATCTTCAGTCAGCTTGTTCCTCCCTCGAGTGTGCAGAGCTTTAAATTTGTTCTTGGACAACATCGTCTTTCCAAGTAATGCACAGATATTAACTAGGATGAAGGAGGAATTTTATGGTATCGCAAGATTTCCGAATGTTGTGGGTGCCATAGACGGTACACTCATTCCTATACGTGGAATGAGTGGAGAGGAGGAGCCTATCTTTGTATGCAGGAAGAACTTCCATGCCTTAAATATACAAGGAGTAGTGGATGCAAAGATGAGGTACATTTATTTCAACAAAAGGCTTAATACAGTCAGCACGGACAGAAAGACTGTCTTTTCAAATTATATTTATGGGCAAAACAGAATGTCAATTTAAAAAAATTCAAAACTTATCAGATAAAGAGCTTTGAAACTACAACTCCCAGTCATTATCCTCTTTGTTTATGTGATATATTAATTATTTGTAGGTTCATTAACATCAACTGTAGGTTCCCAGGAAGCACACATGATGCCTACATTTTTCAGAATTCAAGTGTTCCCGGGATATTAGAGATTTTACCAGGAGGGGGATGGTTACTGGGGGATTCGGGTTATCCTCTTAAGGATAACCTGATGACCCCATTTGGGAACCCTTCAACGTCTGCCGAGGAGCGCTATAATGAGGCCTACTGCAGGACGAGGAATGTAGTGGAGCGTTCATTTGGTGTCCTGAAGGCAAGATTCGGGTAAGTTAATCATTTGCATAAACATGTACATGTATATATTCTTAAATGTATGATACCTTTAATGTGTACGGGTCAAGTACTCTTACTTATAAAGTTTCCATCTTTTTACAGATGTTTACACAGCAGTGGAGGATACCTTCCTTTCAAACCAGCAAAATGCTCCCTAGTAATAGAGACCTGTATGAAATTGCATAACAAGGCAATTGATGCGAAGGTGCCTTTGCGACAAGGTGGTGCTGAATAAACAACAGAATAATGCTGTCTTCCATGGCGCAGTCCCACAGACAGCAAGAGACTTGAGACAACAACTGGCATCACGGCTTTAATTTTGGACAGTGCTGTCTTAAAAAAAAATAAATATCCAGTAAGACTAATGCATATGTGTGATTTTTTTGTGTTTATCTATATTTTAGGAAAGAATTTAATAGCTACTCTAGTTATACTGGTACATGTATAACCTTGGTTGGGGTAGTTTATATTTTTGACACAAGTCATCATGACATAGGCAACACAAGTTCTATGATATAGCTTATTTTTTTTTATCCAATCAAATGATACCTTACCACAAAAATTTAATTATTCCTTTATGTACAAATACTGAGTAACATGAAAATTTAAAAGTTGGTCATTCATTATGTCTGGTATGTAGAAAAAGAAGAAAATTTATATGGTATGAATATTACCGGGAGTATTTAAGGAAAAAATTTACCTCAAAACAGATATTAAAATTTTTTTTAAAATATTTTTTGAAAATTTTAACAATAAATTTCATGTTTACAGTAATACCACATTCTAGTGAACACATACAGTATATAATAGTTCTCTTTGGTAGATTTAATAAGCCTATGTCGCAAAGTCTATAAATATTTGATCATCAAAAGTAGAGATTAATTAAAACTTAATGACGGGAGAGAGAGAGAACTCCGATGGAGAAGCTTGATGATCCTGAAGTCTTTCAAGAGTGTTTGCAATTTTTTCTAGAGCTGAAACTTGTCTTTCCTCTAATTCCAACTTTTTCTTCTTCATTCTTATTAACTCTTCCATTCCTAAAAAAAGGAGGCATTAGCAATATCAACAAAGAAAGTCCCTTTCCTTTGCATTTCTATATGGATTTTTAAATAAAATATAAATGTATACAAAGAATGGTAAAGGTTTATATTGTCTCAAATTTGATTAAAAAATGAATTGCATAGTAAAATATGTGTTTGAAAAGAAAGTATGTACTATTTTGGTTGTAAATGTACCATTCTGCTCAACTTTTCTCCTGCTAGAATCTTGACTCTTTTCCTTTGTTGACACTTTCTTCAAACTCTCTGATATGCTATGAAGAAAAAATTTTCTTTAGTTAAGTGTTGAATGTAGTATAATTATGTTAACTTAATAATTTAATTAAAAACAAGAAGTCTGTAAGCCAAAACTCACAAGTAATACCCCCACTGTGATGTGAATGTACACCATCATATTAATATGTACATAGGTTCAGTTACGTGCAGATAAACAGGAAAATGACATCAGATTCATACAAAAATAAATCCCACCATATGACAAGCCTCGACAAAGTATGTGCTAAAATTACATTATCTGCAATGAGTAGTTGCTGAGAAATTTACTGCAACCATAACTTTCAGTTTGTTACAGAAAGACAGACAACTAGACGGATGGATGGAGAGACACACATGGGTTAATTTTGAGTTTTGATAAGAATTAAAAGCTCACTTCAGCCAAAATGAGTTAAAATGTATATGCTTACTTTGGTCAGCTGCCTCCTGCACTGGGTCAGGAATGATGTTTATCACAGATTCTGAAAAATTCATAATCTATGTATTTATTATATACGTATTAAATACATGTAGTTTATATTGGGAAAATGAAACAGTTTTTTTTTAGAATTTTAACAGGGACCTTTATTCTAGTATATAGCATATATATGGGTCCCTGGTTTAAGTGTTAAATCAAAATCTAAGCAGCCAGTAATATTTAATACATGTAAAATAAAGTGCATTGCCAAAGCATATATCATGCCCTTCATATTAATTATAATAAACAGTTTAAAATGCAATGAAGTTTAGAATGCAATGAAGAACATAGGTAATCGAAGATTACAAAGCTCACCTCGACAAATGTTACTAGTATCAGTAATGCAAATCTCACATATTTTCCTCATCCATGCAAGTTTAGTCCAGGTTTAATGGCTTATAGTTTGTTTTGTATGATTTAAAATGCTATGGTCTACAAATACATTTAAACCCTAATAATTATGTTTATTCTATAAAGATTATGTATGTATGTATGTATGTATGTATGTATGTATGTATGTATTCCAACATTCTGAAACCCCTGTGACATCATGTATATTGCAATATCAATGCCACGGCGTCTTCGTTTAAACTGCAGAGATGTAGTCCTAAATCGGTTGAAAATATCTCGTTTTTGAGGTCTACTGTAAAAATATAATGCAGGATTAAACCAGAGGCTTATGGGCCACATCGCTCACATGAGTAACTTCGGTGATGCAGTTACCAGATTTCCCATCTTGTTATACCTATTGTGGCCTCCAACCCCATCTCCTGTCATGATTTTAATACTGTAGAATGTACACTACAACAGGATGTTTCCACATAATTGTTTCAGCTTTCCTGGCCCAGAGGTTCTTGAGATTTTACCTCTATAATTCAATGTAAAACTTGGATTCCCTATTGCGGCTCCACCCTACCCCCGGGGTCATAATTTTAACAATTTAGAATCTACACAACCTCAGGATGCTTCCAAATACACTGTAAGTTTCAGCTTTCCTGGCCCAATGGTTCTTGAGAAGAAGATTTTTAAAGATTTTTTTATCTATACAATTCAGGTGAGCTAAAAGTACATGATAAATGTCTTGAAGTATAAGCGATATTTGGGCTCGGGTCGAAAACGTGAGAGGTCTTGGCAAGTCCAGTGTTTTCTAAAACTTCTTCATACCCTTGCCAAAATATTGCTTATATTTCAAGACAGTAACCATGTATTTTAAATGTTACTTAAGTCAATTGAAAACATTTCAATCTGAATCTGTTTTACATTATAGTTTCATTTTACACATTTGAATGCTAATTTTGAATATATAAAATAACGATAAACCATTAAAACATATATTCTAATTTACCTGAAATATTTTCCTTAGACTCTTTGGGACAACTATCCCCCATCTCTCCAGGACAGTATTGCATCTCTCTGGTTTTGTCTAAAATATGAATGAATTAGTTTGACTTTGAGGTATACCCCTTAAGAATTATGAATGAATGAAAAATTAATAAGCTAAAAGGTTAGACATCTTATTCTCATCATTCAACCTGGCCTAGTCATTTTTGGGGGCAGAGGGGTGAGGAGTACTCACTTTTTCATGGAATTCCTTTGTAAAAGCTTCCAAAAAGATTTCAACAAATAGCAATCTAATTAAAGTTAGATGTTAGATCCACTTGCATGCTTGCTACTTTCACGTCTTACAACATCCCAAAAGGGTCATGTCAGAGGTCAAATTTGGAACAACTCTAGACTTATGGTATTCGCTTCAACAAATATACGATATTTTGCAGGTAATGATTTGATTGGTTGAGAGAATTTAACCTCTGACATGCCACTCTATGGGATGTTGTTAGATGTTAGTGTAGCAAGTATGTGAGCGGATCTAACATATTACATGTATTTTAATTAGATTGCATGAACTAATAGGAATCTACTTCAAGTTTGAAACTTCTATTTCAAGATTCATATTATTTGTTCAGGTGTTTTATGACCAATCCAAATTATCTCAATTATTCCTCTTTAACCCCCTTGAAAGAAAGTGTGGGTCTTCATATTACAGAAGACTCTGTGGCAAGTTTGATTGAATTTGGCCTGGAGGTAAAGTTAAACAACAGCAACACCAGACATCAGGATCACAAAGTCTTAGCTGAACCATGAAAGACTTGAAGTGAGCTTCTCAAGTCAACTTAATATGAAAATGATATGTACATTGTAGTACAAACATTGAGTAAAAGCATTATAATTTATAAATCTTTCATATATAACATATTGATAGATTATATTTAAAATGAGAAATCTTGAAAATAAAATCTTGATATGTTATACATATTTATATTTAAAACCTTTAAAATATTTATAACCTTTCCTGTTCCCTGTGTCTATTCCAGCCTCGATACCATGTATTGCCTCACTTGGAATTGTGCTAAGCAGCTAAAATGTAAAGTAAATGTAAATATTAAACACATTGTTCATATATAAGTATGTTTATTTCAAACTACAATGTATTTGATTCAGATTTTGAATTAACGAGTTGCAAATCTTCTAGTTTATCAATGAACCTATTTAAATGTCTTGTTTCACTCATAGGAAAAAGTACATATATTTGAATTGGCTAAATTGCATATGAATGACTGTTACCAAGATATTTTTTTTAACTGAGACCAACATTAAAAATAATTGGTTTGATGTACTCCGACTGACACACACACACACAAACCCCACATACTTTTTTTCTAGCACTTTGAATTTCTAATATTTCTTTCTTCAGTTTCCAAAGAAATTTTACAGCTGAGGTATATAATTTCAATTCTATTTCTCCAAGATGCTTTTCATTTGAATTTTTTTCCAGCAATAAATATTTATATGTCTACCTATCCATTGTGTATTGAAAGCATGAATAGATTTAGTTTGTTCCATAGGAACTGCAAAGCAAAAAAAAAAAATTACTACCTACCTAGTACCTATGTACCCACTTTGAATGATATGGGTCGGAGTACATTTAACAAAATATTTTTGATGATGGCCTGATGATCACCTCTTTAATTGTGTTTTTTACACTGTGATTTACTTACAACCAACTCCCAAGGTTTCATTTGTACCTCAGCGAGAGGCCCTCCTCCGGTTTTCATTGCCTCTCTCTTTCTGAAGGCTTCTTTCTTTTTGATTGATGATTGGACATCCTGAATCCTTTTCTTAGTTTCATCTGTTGTTCTTGAACAACCTATCGACACAGAATTCACCCTAAGAAAAAAATAAAAGGACTGTTTAGTGTTAACAACAGTACTGTTTTGACATCTAATTTTTAGCTCTACTGGTCAGAGACCAGAAGAGCTTATGCGATAGTAATGCGTCCGGCGTCCGTCCGTCTGTCTGTCTGTCCGTCTGTCTGTAAACAATTTTTCAAAATGCTACTCCTCCTACAGTTTTGGTCTAATTTCAATATAACTTGGCACACAAGTAGACTACACTAAGATACATAATTCTATGTATCGGTTTTTGATTTCGATGAACGGTGTTGCCGTGGTTACTAAAAATAGAAATTTCTGTGAAATTCTTTCAAAATGCTACTCCTCCTACAGTTTTGGTCTGATTTCAGTATAACTTGGCACACAAGTAGAATACACGAAGATACATAATTCTGTGTATCGGTTTTTGATTTTGATGAACGGTGTTGCCGTGGTTACTAAAAATAGAAATTTCTGTGAAATTCTTTCAAAATGCTACTCCTCCTACAGTTTTGGTCTGATTTCAGTATAACTTGGCACACAAGTAGAATACATTAAGATACATAATTCTGTGTATAAGTTTTTGATTTCGATGAACGGTGTTGCCGTGGTTACTAAAGATAGAAATTTCTGTGAAATTCTTTCAAAATGCTACTCCTCCTACAGTTTTGGTCTGATTTCAGTATAACTTGGCACACAGGTGGAATACACTAAGATACGTAATTCTGTGTATCGGTTTTTGATTTCAAAGAACGGTGTTGCCGTGGTTACTAAAAAAATAGAAATTTCTGTGAAATTCTTTCAAAATGCTACTCCTCCTACAGTTTCAGTCTGATTTCAATATAACTTGGCACACAAGTAGAATACACTAAGATACATAATTCTCTGTATCGGTTTCTGATTTTGATGAACGGTGTTGCCGTGGTTACTAAAAATAGAAATTTCTGAAAATGGTTTCAAAATGCTACTCCTCCTACAGTTTTGGTCTGATTTCAATATAACTTGGCACACAAGTAGACTACACTAAGAACATAAAGAGACTTTATCAACGATCATTATTCTATTTATTGCTGTTGTAAAGTTTCAAATCCCAGCTGCTTAAGTACTTTTCTTTTCCTTTGCTATAAGTTCAAACCAGTAGAGCTTCAGTCTCGACAGAGACTTCTGGTTAAGTTGATTAGTTTAATACCAGTATCTGACTATCATTACCCAATGATTTTCATAAGAACTGCAAACGATATTGTATAACTACAGTTATTAACTGTGTTCTGTCAGATTAGGACACCCTGGTCCAGTCTCCGTACAGATAGTTAACCCAACATACAATGTACAATACATAGGCATCAACCCTGGTGACTGTTGTATGTGTGTGCATGCACGTTGTAAAAGACTGAATTATAAACAAATTATACAAATTAACACATTGAATTTCAAGCAAAATGTCTTGACCTACTAATTTTTAACTGTCAGATACACTGTACATTATAAAATTCATAGAAATCACTCAGGAAAATAGGAACAATGTAAAAAAAAAACTTAATAACACTAATTGGCTTCTATATAAATAAAATTTTGCACCATGAAATTCAGATTAATTAAACCACAAATATTGTGTCAAAGTCCTAAAAGTATATTCCGGGATAACTTATTTAGCTTAGCAAATAATTCACAGATAGATGTACAAATCAAAACATGTCTATGCTTACATTTCAACAGATGACAAGTCTTCAGTATGAAAGTTTCAATTATTACACATAACACTGATTAAAGCGTCTATAGTAAAGATATCGGCATCATTGGCGTCGAAAGCAAATTGAAAGTGGGGGAGGAGGGGGGGGGGTAATCGAAAGTCACTTTGTGGAAGGGGGGGGGGGGGCAAAACCAACAAAAAAGGTAAATCCCAATTTTCAATGCCTACATAAGGTCAATTTTTGTAAACCCCCCCCCCCGGTTCCGATGCCTATGAGCATATTGAAATACACCGTAATAATTTTTCATAATAATCAAGTGCTTTCAAACTCTGTGATAGGCTTAGATTATAGAATCGCAATTTTACTCAAAAAACACAACAGAGGCATATTAAAGTCAATAGTCAAAGAGAGAGAGAGAGAGAGAGAGAGAGAGAGAGAGAGAGAGAGAGAGAGAGAGAGAGAGACTTAGGTGCAAATGATTACGATAGTTTAGAACTTACTTGTTAGTAATCGCCTCCCAGGCTTTTTTCTTGGAATCCGTGGTAAGCCCGGGAGAGAGCTTACCACGGATTACTTTTACTGATGAGGCGTAGGCCTCAACCAGTACCTCCATTTCGAAGTCTGTCCAGTTAGGTTTTCTAGGCTTTTTCTCCATTTTCTCCATTGTAATGATTGTTGCAGACGATCACGGAAGTAGTATTGGGCATGCGCAGCATCCGTTGCTAATGCACTTTACAATCTCTTTTTAGAAGAGTTCCAGTCGTAAACTACGTGGAAAGTTACGTTAGGATCTACGTTTACGGGCGCAGATACGACCTTTAGTAAAACGCTATCTACGTACACGTAAATTCAGTCGTAAAGTCTACGTTTACGTCTACGTCTACGGCAAAATTTACGACCTTTAGTAAAACTCGGTACAGATATGATAAAAAGGAGGCACTCACTCCTTATCCACAAATTGAATAAACAATGCTCCCAGACAGACGAATTGGGTTATGATGGTTACCATGCTTATTCTGGAAAAGGATATCCTCATCCACCAATGCTATTTTAGAGATTTGGCCATTTCTGACAAATGAACTGTTGTTATAAAAAAAAATACTCGCATGGTAAATATTAAGAAATATAAGAGTCGGAAAAATCTCTTAGCTTCTATGACAGAACGCTACAAAGCATGTCACGTGACCACCTAGATCACGTAATTATTATGTACATAATATTCTAACCAAGATACCATGAAATTAACAATTTTCAAAGAGGCACCATTGCTTATCATAATTATAAACTTTGCATGCTTACTCTATTTACTTAATACCAGAGGTAGATCAGAGTAACAAAGAGAAAATGCACTTCCACTTTATAAACAGTTGTGTACCCCACTCCAAAGGAACCACCGAGGGGCATGAAATCAACAATTTTGCTAGATGCACTTTTCTTCATCATAAATATGTATACTTGGATCATTGACATAATTCCTAGAAGCAAAGGAAAATATTTTCAAAGAATTATGTATTTTCACTATATAATCAAAAGAGCCCCCCCCCCCTTTACACCCAATGGCAAAACCCCTGACAGGGACCATGAAATTCACAAATTTGGAAGAGGCACTCTTGCTTATCATAAATATATACTTAGTTTATTTAATACCCAGGAGAGAAAAGAAGATTTTCAAAGATTTAATGTATTTTCACAATGTAATCAATAGACCCCCACCCTAGCACGAGAACCACTGACCCTGGGGCCATAAAATTCACTATTTTTGAAGAGGCAATCTTACTCATCATAACTATGTTCTTAGTTAGTTTATTTAATACCCAGGAACAGAGAAGAAGATTTTCAAAGAATAAATGCATTTTCACTAGATAATCAATAGAGCCCTGCCCTAACACCAGAACCCCTGACCCTTTATTTTCAGAGAAGATGCTGAAAATGTTCAAAAGTTGACGCACGACGACGGACGAAAACGGAAAGATATAGGTCACCTGAGTGACTCAGGTGATCTAAAAACCCATTTAATATATTCATTTCTATCGGATTCTTAACATTTTACTACCGTAGACTATATCTTCTCTAACGGTGAAGGTGACTGTTACGGCAGAGATGTGCGTTTATGGATCGAGCGGCCCTCTCGCAGATAAACAAGGGTAACTTGGGTTTTTACTGAGTTTGATAAATCAAGGCAAAAATACGGGTATTCCCGCCGCAGTGTCAAACAGTACCAAACTTCACCGTGAAACTGTAAACAATAACAATTACACAGATTCAATAGAGAGGTTGAGATTTCAAACGTGTACGTGTACCGGTACGTCTAGTAGGGAAATAACCTAAATTCTGTGTGTATTACGTCATCAGTTTTAGTGACGTCAAGATTGCTACACGTTCGTAAAACTTGTAGAATGGAATCTACATAAGTGAAAACGTGTAGCTTTAATAATAAAAATTAGCCAATTTAAGTGTGAAGATGTGATTGTTATACATTATATAGGATGTTTACTTTCACGAGCACTTATTTTCATCAAGTTTTGTTTACTAACTGACGACAAAAAACCTTCTAAATAGTTGAAACAGAGACACCGATCGCGGTGTACACGTACATGTTACACATCATAAAAATCTCAACAGACAAATTAAAAAAAACGTGTACGTGTATGTCAAAATATACACAAGTACACGTACGCGTACACGTTTAAGATCTCAACCTCTCTAATACATAAAAAGTTAATTACAGATCGAATACGCAAAAACACACATACAAAACAAACGTATTTACCTCCTTGTGCCTTATTTTCGCAGAGATGTGAGGGCTTAGTCGCACCATGTGCTTGCCGCCATGAACATAAAAATAACGCAAATGACATAAAATTACCTTACTATACAAAAGAGTTCCAAGTACGGCAGCATGTGCGGGCGTAACATGGCTCCCCAAATTAGTGAATAACTAATTTTAACATATATATCATATAACTTCTACAACGTCTATGAGGAAACATTCAAAAAAGTTCCTATGATGGCTCCTCGGTGGGGTCTTCCCCGGTCTCGTTCTCTAGCAACAAGACTAACTTGTGAACAGGTCTTTCCAGTGTAGAAAGTTCACCGTTCCTCTTGCCGTTCCTGTCCAAACTACTATCTCCGATAGCTAACTTTACACTCCGGACAAATCCATCTTCACTTGCTTATGTCTCTGACACGGCCAAGATGCCATTGATTTCGTGGTAAGTTGTCATCCTTCACTAACACAACATCTCCTGTCTGGATATTCCGTCTGGGCGAGGACCACTTTGCTCGAGTCTGGAGAGTATGAAGGAATTCCTTTTCCCAACGTATCCAGAATTCATTTGCCAAGTATTGTATGCGGCGCCATCTCTTACGGCAATACAAATCAGGCTTCTGGAACTCATCAGGTGGTGGTAAGACAACCTTAGATTTCATGGTTAGAAGGTGGTTCGGTGTGATCGGTTCAGGGGCGAAAGGATCGTGCAAGTTCGAAATGGTAAGTGGGCGACTGTTGACAATAGCCATAGTCTCACAGAAAAAGGTTCTAAGAGCCTCATCGTCTAACTGCGCACCAAATTCCTGTAAGAGGGAAGAAAGCACATTGCGAACTGTCCTGATCTGCCTTTCCCAAATTCCGCCCATATGACTCGCTGATGGAACGTTCATTTTGAAATGGATATAATCACATCCGTCAGCTGTGAGAAACTGCTTCAAACGACTATCATCTAATTTTTCCAAAGATTCTCTGAGTTCTCTCTCGGCTCCGACAAAATTGGTGCCTCTATCTGATCTCAGCTGTCTTACTGGTCCACGTATCGCTAGAAATCTGCGCAGAGCGTTGATAAATGAACTAGTGTCGAGAGAGTTTGCAGTCTCTAGATGCACGGCTCTCGAAGATATACACGTAAAGAGAACTCCATACCTCTTCAACTCTCTTCTTCCTTCTTTGATGTAGAATGGTCCAAAAGTCTACACCACTGTATGTAAAGGGTGCCTCTGCTGCAAGTCTGTCAGCAGGTAGGTCGCTCATTTTCTGATACTGTGTTTGGCTGCGACGTTTACGACATTTCACACATCTCGAAACGACACTATACACAGCAGAACTGCAGCCAATAATCCAATAACCATTTGATCTTATCTCATTCGTGGTAATACTTCGTTCTTGGTGTCTGCTGCGTTCATGAAAGTGTCGGATGATAAGCCTTGTTACATGAGACTTCCTTGGTAAAATGATTGGATGCTTAACATAAGACGTAAATTCTCCCTTCCGCAAACGACCACCGACTCGCAAAACATCATTATCATCCAGAAATGGGTCAAGTCGGTAAAGGGAGGATGTCCTTCGAACGGATTTCTTCCTGTTAACTTCCTCACATCCCTTGATGTCGTTAAAAAATTTCAATTCTTCACTAAAGGCCTCTTTTTGAACTAATCTTACAATAGTCAATTCTGCTTCCTCTAATAATGCTACTGGCAATCCTTGCTCCTTGCAAAGCACTGCGTCTGTCCCCTTCTGACAAGCATCCTTCCTAAGTAATGACTTAAACTTAAGACAGTTCGCTATGAGTCTCTTGGCATGGGTCCAATCAGAATAACGTTCTAAATGGTCCATTAATGATGTACACTCCGTAGGTTCTACCTTCGTCTCGAACACCTGACAACGCTTAACCTCTGGGTCATCATCCGATAAACTTGGCTTGCTGACAGGCTTAACAGTAAATGGTAAACTGGACTCCCATAGAAACTTCGGTCCTCTGAACCATTCCTTTCTATTTCGTAACTCATCAGCTGTGACACCACGTGATGCCATGTCTGCTGGGTTCTCCGATGAACTGATATAGTTCCACTGATATGGCTCTGTGTGATCACGAATCTGTTGAAGTCTGTTGGCAACAAAAACATGAAATCGCCGAGAATCATTAGCAATGTATCCCAGAACAACAGTGCTATCTGTCCAGAACCATTCAACAACATTGCTAATTTCAAGCTCTTCGAGAAGTTGGGAGCTGACCTTAACAGAGACAAGAGCAGCAGTAAGTTCCAAACGAGGTATGGTTACTGGCTTGAGTGGCGTAACTCTGGATTTGGCCATAACTAAAGAGCAGTGTACTTGCTGCTTGTCATCGATGAGACGAAGATATGAGCACTGGCCATACCCGATAGTGCTCGCATCGGAGAAATGGTGTAGCTCCGCTACAACAACATCTCCAAAGTTCTCAGGTTTCAGACATCTCTTGATTTCTAAGGAACCAAGGTGCTCAAGATCATTTCTCCAACATCTCCATCTAGGCTTCAAGTTCTCTGGAAGAGGCTATCCCAATCTGTCTGGTTTCTACACATTTCCTGCAAGATTTGTTTCCCAACTAGAACGAAAGGTGCTATGAATCCAAGTGGGTCAAATACGGAACTCAAAGTCGAAAGAACACCTCGTCTAGTAAGAGGGCGGTCCTTCAGGGTAATCTTGAACTGAAATGCATCTGTCTGAATACCCACTGTATACCTAAAGTTCTTTCCATGGGAAGTTTGTCATGGTGTATGTCAATATCTGCTAGTCCCTTTGCTCTTTCTTCAGCTGGAATGCTCTCCAAAACTTCCTTAGAGTTTGAGGAACTTGTGTAACCTCAAACCACTTCTGCTGCACAACTCTTTGCTTCTCTCTATGATGCTAATGGCTTCCTCAGGAGTAGCTACCGACTTCAGTCCGTCCTCAACATAGAAGTCTCGTTTGATGAAGTTCCCAACATCAGACCCACACTGAAGCTCTCCGTCTGTGGCAGCTTGTCTCAAGCCAAAGTTGGCGTATCCTGGAGAAGACACTGCTCCAAATAGATGTACAGTCATTCGGTAAGTAGTAGGATCCTTATTGAAATTGCCATCATCCCACCACAAGAATCGTAGGTAATTTCTATGTTCAACGTTCACCTTAAACTGATGAAACATCTGCTCAATATCACAAACAAAGGCCACTGGCTCTTTGCGAAATCGACACAAAACTCCAAAAAGCATATTCATCATGTCAGGTCCTTGCAGCAAATGGTCATTCAATGACTGCCCCATATACCTTGCACTGCAATCGAAGACTACACGCAGCTTTCCTGGTTTTTGCGGATGATATACACCATGGTGTGGGATGTACCATTCCTGACCACTATCGACACCAATTTCCGTCTTCGGTACTCTTTCGGCAAAACCATTTGATATCAGCTCTCTCATAAAGGAAATGTAGTGCTCGCTATACTGTGCATCTTTCTCAAGTCGCTTCCGCAAGTGTTGTAGTCGCTGAAATGCCATGTCTCAGGTATGGCATCGCTTCTCGGAAAGGCAATGGCATTTCATAATGTCCATCACACTTATGAATCCCCTTTTCCATGATATCCAGAAATTTTCTGTCTTCATAGGAAACATGTTTTGAACTGCTTAGGTTCTCACTGAAATCCACTTCAAGCATCCTAACTACCTCTTTAGGGTTGATTACTTCCTTTATCTTGTTCCTTACCGAAAATACAACATGGTCTTGCCTTGATGCTTCAGATGTACACAATTCTGTAGGCACGTCGCACGCAACAATACGATGACTAATTCCTATGGGATCCTCACCCCATTCCGTTGAACTGTCATTCTCCATTATGCCTACTACACTCCATCCCAAATCAGTGCGTTGACCATAAGGTCCGTCTTTGGATGGAACGATAACATCTCTCGGCGTCAAAGCCTTCACACAGTTGTAACCAATGAGTAATCCAACTTCACAATCAGTCAGAGGTAGAAGTTCATCTGCAATAGTTTCCAGATGAGGCCATCTTTTCGCAACTTCCGGTGTCGGGATATGGGATCTGTTAGCAGGCATGATAGCTCTTGAGTATGTTTCAGGTAACGCTATTCTGTGTTCACTATTGAAGCCACGTACAACAAGTCCTCCAATCTTACAACTATCTATGGCCTTGTTCTCTGCATACATAGTAGAAAGCATCAGCTTCACAGGTTTACCAGTAAGTCCAAGGGCACTTGAAGTCTTCTCCAGAATAAAGGTTGTATCCGATTGTGTGTCAAGTAGCGCATAAACTAACCTCTCTCTGTCTGGGTTCTCTTTATGTGACACATAAACTGGAAGTATCATGGTACTTTTACTGGATGCTCCAGAGTGATTCATAAGTGTTGTTCCTGATGAACTCTCCTTTGGCATGGCTGCGTTATCCACATCCTCCGTAATCTGTTGCTGTTCTCGTCTGTAGATGTCCCCGTGTAAAGATGAGGGGTGAAACTTGGAACAAGTTTTGCATCTTTTCCTCTCGCGACACTTCCTTGATAGATGACCCGAATGTAAACATCCAAAACACAGACCTCTCTGTTTTGCATACTGTTTTCTTCCTTCCAGACTCTTCGCTAAGAACTGTTTACAGTCATCTAGTTCATGATTCCCTTCACACAAAACACAGTTTCTCCCTCTGTCGCTTCTATTTGCAACGTTCACATTTGCAGGCTGATTGTCTTCAACGTCTGTCAGGAAAGATCGTTTTCCATAATCAGCTGCACCTCGCTGTCGTATTCTGACATCAGGTCCTGGCTTACTCGGCTCTGATTGGGCGAGTTCAGACTTCTTTACAGACTCTATGGAGGTAATAGGGTCTGTCGCAATCTTGGCTTCTTTCACGATAAATTCCATAAAATTCTTGAATGGTGGAAATTCCATTCTTTCTTCTCTGTACTATGTGGCAATCCTACCCCATCTTGTCACAAGCCAATCTGGAAGTTTGCTAAGCAGTCTTCTGTTTTCTCTGTCATCATTGAGAATGTTCAAGCTTCCAATACTCTGCATGGCTGTATAACACTGCTTAAGAAAATCACCAAATCGCTGCAGTCCAACACCATCTCTCGACCTTATCTTTGTCCATTTATCCAGTTTGTCACGGAATGCATTGGCAACAATGAATGGGTTACCATATCTTTGGTCTAGCAGTCCTTTAGCCTCCTCATACGCATCATCTGTTGATAACAGAAAATAGTTCTCTATGACATCTTTCACTGGTCCACCCAGATACTTCTTCAAATAATGTATCCTTTCTGATGCTGGAATCTGACGCTGCTCAATGAGTGTTTGAAATGATGCCTTCCAACTTGGGTACTTCAACGGATCTCCTAGGAAAATGGTAGGTTCCGGAGGGGGTAAACGACTAAGACTCACTTGCTTTGCTAGTGAAGTAGCCAGATCCAATAAGCCTTGCTCTATTTGTTTGTCATCTTTACTAGGCAGTGACGGATTGTTACGTGACTGCAAGTCTATGTTGCTTAAGGGAACTCTTGAAGCAGTGCTAGTTGCGACATGTTCCTGTTGTGTGTGAGGAGTGAATACTGGAGGAATGAGGTTCCTATGAGAAATCGGTGGTGCTTCTGGTTCTATCTTTATCCTCTCTTCTGATGGCCTGACCTGAGTATCAATGAACCTTTTGACACGCTCCTTGGAGCCAAGCTCTGGAATCGAATGTTTAAAATCACGGTACAAGAATGGTTCATTACCTTCAAAAGTCTCAAGTGCTTCTAACTTAGCCTGCGCTATATCAAGCTCCTTCTGGGTTCTAATCCTTTCAAGGTCTGACTTGTGTTTTGCCTCTGCGTCAATGTACTTCAGCTTTGTCTTCAGCGCTGCTGCCTCCATGACTGTATCTACGGACTTCTTGGAACTTCTAGAGGTATTGGAAACCCTCGTTGACCTTGATGTACGACTGCTGTGCGATCTACCTGAAATCCTGGAGACAGAGTCAAACTCTAATTCTCTCAAGCAATTTGTAATGTCTCTCATCAATGTGTGATTATCTCCTAGAATAATCTCGATCCTCCCCTGGTATTGATCAACTAAATTTCTGTAATTCTCGTCTTCTTCATTTGTAAGCATTTGTTTCAGTCTTTCAAGGATTTTATTCAGATTAGTCCTAATACTAATAAGAACGTCTCTTTCTCGCCTGATAGCAGAGGTATCCTTGGAATCCGAAATAAGAACTTCAATAGAAGCTGCGCACTTCCGCCATCTTGAAGCCTTGAGCTTAAAGTCTAAGCATATCTGATCAACTTGCCATTCCAAACCTTTCGTGGTCATCTTGCGCTCACGCATATGTAATGTATTGCTCTGGCTTGCTTGTTCCGAGTCCTTAGACGCTTCTTCAGAAGTTGTTTTAACATTTTCCTTGTCGTTACCTATGTTGTTGTCTTCCTTTGTTTCAGGGGGGATAGATGAAAGTGCATTTGTATAGGGCATCTCTTCGTTTGACATATTTGTAACACAGTTAGGGAGTCTAAACTTAGATACAATACAATGTTACCTACAAACCATGTGATAAATATTGCAATAAAATATCAGAACCTTCCCCTAGCACACAAGGTAAATACATGCACATGTATACATATACATTGAATACAAATCAACATTTGCAATCAAGAGTCAATACAGTTCAAATCTACAGCACAGTCTTGATAATTGTTCATATGCACAGATATAATAAATAACTAGCACTAATTAATAGCATTAATCAATTAATAGCACAGTGTTTACTAACACACAGTCACAAACATGTAATGTATTGTAATGCTAGAATTGTCACTTTATAACGCGAACGTGCCACCATACAATTTTCACACAGTTAATGTCATCAATATAAATCAATATAAATCGCAAATGTTCTGTTCACAGTTGCACATCATCACAGAAACATCATGTGTCGCAGATACTGTAAAGTCAATACAACGGTAATGGCGTCTCTAGGCTTCCATAGGTCACACTCACCGTTTTACGATCCTGGGAAGGAGTTTCACTGTTACGGCAGAGATGTGCGTTTATGGCCCTCTCGCAGATAAACAAGGGTAACTTGGGTTTTTACTGATGAAGTTTAATAAATCAAAGCAAAAACACGGGTATTCCCGCCGCAGTGTCAAACAGTACCAAACTTCACCGTGAAACTGTAAACAATAACAATTACACAGATTCAATACATAAAAAGTTAATTACAGATCGAATACGCAAAAATACACATACAAAACAAACGTATTTACCTCCTTGTGCCTTATTTTCGCAGAAATGTGAGGGCTTAGTCGCACCATGTGCTTGCCGCCATGAACATAAAAATAACGCAAATGACATAAAATTACCTTACTATACAAAAGAGTTCCAAGTACGGCAGCATGTGCGGGCGTAACAGTGACCTTGAATGTGACTCTCGGAAGACGGACTCCGCTCTCTCTTTTCGTCGCCGCTTTTCTAGCCTACCTCTCTGGAACACTGCTTGTCTAGTTTACCATCCTTAATTGTGCAGTATCGGTCGTCTAGGAGACCTGGTACGACGCACTGGAGTGGTTGGTCTGTCTTCCGGTTGTGACGTAAACCCCCGCTTGGGTCCACTGCTGTAGAAATAATCAGTCCGTGTCTTTCCAAGTTCGTATGGAACGCCAAATTAACATATATGAGTTGCGTCAAGCGAAAAGGGACCTTCGTGACGTGAATAGAATAACGTCATAATCGATCTCTAAAGTCACGACGTTACAGCCGGCTGGTTACCGTAAAAAATAAATTTTTAGCATGATTTAGCCTAAGTATAAATTCACAGCTGATTTATAGAAAGAACAAAGCTGAACCCTTTAACATCCCATGGATCTTAATGTAGTTTTAATGATATTTTAATGTTTTTCTTATTCTTGTCCCTAAATTATGCACAGATATAGGCCTATACATGTACTTGTATATGTACATGTAATGATGTATTGACATAAAATATGGTACGTGCAGAAACCGTACAGAGTGGAAACTTCCTTAGTTATAGAACATTTACATTGCCTTCTCGTGTAGTCACAACTTCGTAAATATAAGTGACAAAATGTATTTTATAAAATAAGTCATTACAAGATAAAAACTGTAGTAACTTCGTAACATAGGTCTTTGTTTACAGACGACATAGATCTACATCGTTTAATAAACACTAAATACTATATTACCGTAATATTGATGCTAGAACTCTTGATATAAGAAAATTAAAGTAAAATTATAAGAAAGAAATTAATGGAGGGTTTATAAAAATATAATTTTGAATGTGGATTACGTGTTGTTTACAAAAAAATAAATGTTTTCTTTGCTGCAAATGAATTGTAACTGTTTAATACTTTCGTATACTGTGCGAGTCTGGCATAGAGGTAGCGTACCCGCCTTCTGATCGTGCGATCCGGGTTCGATTCCTCACTGCGATGCAGTTATTTTTCTTCCCGTAATTTTTTTTTTTTTTGTTAAATAGGATATATAGTGTTTTTTGGCGGTATAAGTGACACATTCATTATTCAAGATAAGTTTTCTAGAATTTGTTGACAACTATATTTATTTTATCGAATCTTCTTGCATTTTTAAAAATATATAGGCTATTATAAAAAATTATACTCTTTATCAAATTAATTTTAAAATATACTTGACTCAATTTGTATATACGCAACCAGCAGAACAGCTCACGAAATTTCAATTCATTTGATTTATATATTTAATTAAATCAATGTAAGAATCATCAAATAATGTACATCAATTTAAGAAAATATATTAATTAAATTAGTAAAGGTGTATGTCATTGGATTGATCGTTAAGGGTTTTACGCGCCTAATTGGCAATATCTCAGACATACTTCTGTGGTATTTAGAGATGCATTAATCCAAGTGATTAATGAATAAATTAATAAAATAATTTGACAACTCAGCATATTTCTTGCACCACAATGTATACAGCAAATTATTTATTTCATATAAAATTTAAAAAAGATACAACATATATTGAAACATTGTTGTTTTAATCCTGATCTTTCCATTTTACAGGATTTAGAACACTTGGATGATGACTATATTCCTCATACATGTAGATCCACCGGATTATCGAAAAACAGCTGCGAGAAAAATGTACCTGGGGATAACGATGATGACAGTGACGACGACATCAACAAAGAATCTCTTCAACAAGACGACATCAGGGACAAGATTGACAGATTTGGTAGAAACTGTGTCATTGACAACAATGAAGAGAGTTACAGTGAGGAGGAGGAAGATATAGAATGTAATGGATGTAACAATCTTCAGAGTTTACAGGAAAACATAAGTAAAGCATGTTCGTGTGGGGAAAAACTGTCTGAAAAACGTTGCCATAGAAGAAATACAAAACTCAATACTGATCACAAGTGAACTAGCTAAAGATGAAAAAGATATCTTTATCATGGGAAGACTGGCATGTTTTGGGTTGGTATTCACAGTCAGCGTGGGAAGGAGAGAAAAAGAAAGAAGTATGCATACTATTTCCAAAATCAAGAAGTTTGTAAAGGAGCCTTTCTTTTAGTACATGGTGTTGGGTCCAAATATGTCAAAAATCTAGTCTCTCACATGATTGAAAATGGACAAGTACCTCGTACCCACAAAAAAAGAGCAGACGCCCACCATATGCCTTTAAGTTTGACGATCTTAAAAGAGCTATCGACTATATTCAGAATTACGCTGAAGAATTTAGACTACCACAACCGACAGTAAAAAACAAAAGTATTCCTGTGACTTTTTTACCTTCATCTGGCAGCAAAACATCACTCCATTCTTCGTATTCTTATTCTTGTGACGAGCTGGGAGAGAGGAAAGTTGGGCTCACTACCTTCAAACTTCTGTGGAAATAATGCTGTCCCCACATTAAATATATGACGCCCCGCTCGGATATATGTCCAAAATGTGAAGATTGTAGAGCCAAACTTTCAACGGCAATTGGGCTAGCTGAGAAGAAAGAGGAACTACGAATTTTTACAGAACATTTGTCTAAGGTTGAAATGGAGCGACAGGTAAGAGTTTGCTTTGATACCATGGGTATAATGTTTCACTCAACTATAATATAAAATCATAATTCATTTAACATAATTTACATGAATTTTCCATGAAATTTAATTTTTCAG